CGCACTGGCGCTGTTGTCCTGTGGCAGCCGTCGCATCATCCAAGTGGATGCTGCATACTGGTGGTGGTGTGGAGAGACCCCCCTTATGATTGTGAAGCGCTTTGGGTGTATGGCCATACACAATAAATGCGCTATATAAATACACATTACATTACATTACATTACATTACAATGTGATGCTCTCTAAGCTTGCTTAGTTGTATTCACCGTGTCTTAGACTTACCCAAACCTGCGTTTGCTGCAGGTTGCCACCTGGAGCGACAGTGAGCTACACAGTCACTGCTAGAGTGAATGAGGCATTAAACCAGGGGTCACCAATCTCGGTCCTGATGGGCCAGTGTCCCTTCAGGATTTAGCTCCAACTTGCCTCCACACAACTGCCTGGATGTTTCAAGTATACCTAGTAAGACCTTGATTAGCTTGTTCAGGTGTGTTTGATTAGGGTTGGAGCTAAAGTCTGCAGGACACCGGCCCTCCAGGAACAAGTTTGTTGACCCTTGCATTAGACTGTTACATTTTTTTTGTGTTGCCATAATGCTCGTGTTTATATACCTTGCTAAAAAATCCAGCTTAAACCAGCCTAGGCTGGTTGGCTGGTTTTAGCTGGTCGACCAGGCTGGTTTTAGAGGGGTTTGGGCCATTTCCAGACTGGTTTTCAGTCATTTCCAGCCTGGTCTTAGCTGGTCAGGCTGGAAAATGACCAGCTAAATCCAACTAAAACCAGCTTGGCCAGCCTGGTTTAAGCTGGACATAGCTGGTTTTGGCTGGGCTTCCAGCCTGGCTAGGCTGGTCAAGCTGGTTTTAGCTGGTCATCTCCCAGCCTGACCAGGCTGGAAATGGCTGAAAACCAGGCTGGAAATGGCCAAGACCCCTCTAAAACCAGCCTGGTCAACCAGCTAAAACCAGCCAATCAGCCTAGGCTGGTTTAAGCTGGATTTTTTAGCAAGGTATATAAACACGAGCATTATGGCAACACAAAAAAAATGTAACAGTCTAATGCAAGGGTCACCAAACTTGTTCCTGGAGGGCTGGTGTCCTGCAGACTTTAGCTCCAACCTAATCAAACACACCTGAACAAGCTAATCAAGGTCTTACTTGGTATACTTGAAACATCCAGGCAGGTGTGTGGAGGCAAGTTGGAGCTAAATCCTGAAGGGACACCGGCCCTCCAGGACCGAGATTGGTGACCCCTGGTTTAATGCCTCATTCACTCTAGCAGTGACTGTGTAGCTCACTGTCGTTCTAGGTGGCAACCTGCAGCAAACGCAGGTTTGGGTAAGTCTAAGACACGGTGATTACAACTAAGCAAGCTTAGAGAGCATCACATGAGCTCTACTGGTGCTTCTATTGGCTGGCGTTCAAGAAAGTCGCTCTTCATTAGCATAAAGTTAAAGGATCTTTGTCGTGCTCGATCTGCCCACCTGGTCGCCAACGGTTGCTGTTGTTGACAGAGGTCGACGGCATTCACTTACTCTCCTTTGAAATGAATGACGATTTGCCACTTCGAGTTGCTCATAGTGTGAATGAGGCTTAACAAAGATATAATTCTTTTAAGTCATTATTAATTTGTTAATATTAACTGGCTTTTAATTTGTGTGTTATAACTTTTTATTTGTATGTTGTTTTTTTACGTAACTATTAAATACTATTTTTATCTTCTGCAGCTTATGGATAAAATAGAGTAATTCTAAAAGTTTAATAACGTACATAGGATTTTTTGAAATCACCAAGCGACCAAAACTAATTGAAAATCTGAGGTCTGAGGATGCAACAATAATCAAAATACTGAGAGAATCGACTTTAAAGTTGTGTAAATGAAGTGCTTATTACTAATGAAAAATGTTGATATATTTACAGTAGGAAATTTACCAAATCTTTCATGGAACATGATCGTTACTTAATATTATGATTATTTTTGGCATAAAAGAAAAATGTTGTAGCTATTTCCATTAAAAAATATGCCTGTGCAACTAGACAAGACATAATTAATGTTGTAGTTTTTATTTCAAATAAAAGCTGCTCTTTTGCCGATAATATTAAGCGAAGATTCCTCAATGAGATCTTTTTTTTTTTTTTTTTATAAAATATTAAGCTCAGCATATATTAAACAATTGATATACAGCGCCTATAGAAAATCATCACACCCAGTGAAAGCCTATACTTTTACTCACATTACAGCCTGCTTTCAAAACACCTTCAGGATAAAGTTGTAGAAAGGCACAGTTTAGGAGAAGGGGCTACACAACATTTCAAATGCTTGAAAAGTGATTTGATTTCAGGCTGTATGACAAATAAAGTCATCATTTTAAAGGGGCATGATGATTTTCTATAAGCACTGTATAACTGTTGTCAATATTGCTGAAAATAAGAATGAATTATTCAAGAACCGCATATAGTACATTATAATTAACGCTATATTTCTTTGTTATAGGAACTGTGTTTGATGACATCTCGGACACGGGCTGCATCCCAGCAGAAAAGTGTCAGTGCAAACATGACCGTGTGTACAGCTCTGGAGAGGTCCTGCGCAAAAGCGAGGAAGAATGGTAGTTAAACACAGTCCTGTGACAGATACACAATAAACACTACTGCTTTTTGAATCCCAGTGCATTCTGTCTGCAACTGTATTGTTTGCTTCAGTTACTGTCAGGAGGGAAGCTGGGTGTGTATGAGTATTCCCGGGCCCGGTCTGTGTGCCGTAGAGGAAGGATCTCACTTCACCACATTTGATGGGAAAGAATTCACTTTCCATGGAGACTGTAATTACTTGCTTTCAAAAGTAAGCATGCTTTAAGTTGGTCTGGATGTAGGGCTGGGCGATATGACAAAAATCTCACATTATGGTATGTCATCTCAAATCATGATCATGATATACAGTATATCACCATTTTTAAAGGACTGTTTCTTTTTACATTCCAAAGTATATACTTGGGAATTAGGCAGCACTGTATCTCAGTGGTTAGAACTGTCGCCTCACAGCAAGAAGCCCAGTTGGCATTTCTGTGTGGAGTTTGCATGTTCTCCTCGTGTTGCCGTAGCTTTCCTCTGGGTGCTCCGGTTTCTCCCACAGTCTGAAGACGTGCTATAGGTGAATTGAATAAACTAAATTGGCCGTAGTCTATGAGAATTAGCGTGAAGGAAAAAAGTATATGGGTGTTTCCCAGTACTGGGTTGCAGCTGGAAGGGCATCTGCTGTATAAAACATATGACGGATTAGTTGGCGGTTCATTCCGCTGTGGTAACCCCTGATAAATCAGGGACTAAGCCGAAGGAAAATAAATGACTGAATAATTGAATAGTCAGTCTTATTTTTGACTTTATTCAGATTTTCAGGGCAAATGTTTGAATAAAAATGTTGAAAAATTATAAAACGTAAAACATTTTATATGCCACTAATAAAAAATGCAAGATGTAAACATTGTATTTTCAAGATTGTAAATTTCTTACGTTGCTGTTTTTGTAATACTGCGCTGATATAAATTATGAAATTTTTTGTAAACAATGTATTTTCTGACACCAAAGATTAAAAAAACAGAACATATAAAACAAAATACTTTTTTATTTAGTCCTTACCCTAAATATTGTCATTTGCACAGCCCTATTTGTATGTTTGTTTATATATATATATATATATGTATATATGTATATGTATGTATATGTATGTATACGTATATATGTATATGTATGTATATATATATATATATATATATATATATATATATATATATATATATATATATATATATATATATATATATATATATATATATATATATATATATATATATATATATATATATATATATATATATATATATATATATATATATATATATATATATATATATATATATATATATATATATATATATATATATATATATATATATATA